CAATCAAAGGGAAAGGGAAACCAAGGCTCCAGGCTCTTTTTTTTAATTTATAAGAGGGAAACGAAGGCAGCAAGACGAAAGGGGGGTGGGGGGGAAATCCAGACGACGTTTTGGGGGGAGGGGAGGAAGGAGAAATGTCATAGAGGAAGCAGGAGAGAGAATATCTGGAGAGAAAGGCAAAGCGAGGCTAGGCAGCTTGATAGAGGGGGTGAAGGACAGTCAGGGTGAGGTCTTGAAGGAAGTGACTCTGTTCTGCTTCGTTCCAGGGCGACTGCCTACCTCTGGGCCCGGAGGGGCACAGTGTCCAAGGGGCTCTGGCTCTCAGGGCCTTGGGAGCAAGTTGCCTCGTTACAGCTGGAGATGTTTCAGGGCTACTCCCTGAACCTGAGGACAGGGCAGCTGTGGGAGATGGACTTGGTGCGACCTCTTCCTTCTCCCCTGGGGAACTGAGTCTGGGAGTTGGGTCATTTACCCTCTGCATGAGGCCAGAAAGCTAGAAGGACCCAGGCACAGTGAGACTCAAGTCTGACTCTGCAGCCTGAAGCTTTACTGTGCCCTTCATTTGGTCTTGAACTGGGTGGTCTATTCCCACTAGACCGACTGCCTACACCATGCCCATGTGGCTGGACCAGGCTTGCCTGGGTTTGTATTCTGGCCCTGCCACTTTCTAGCCATGACTTTGGGCAAGTTAGCTCCCTGCGTCTTTGTGAAAAGAGTGTAACAGCCAGTCTCATGGTTTAAAGGGCACAGTAGGGACCAGCAGTTAGTGTAATGGCTATGTCGCTGGACTCCCATGAAGTCGACTGCGGTTCACGTCCCGGACCCGGTGACTTAAAACTCACACCGGGCGCATGTGCTTGCGTGCCCAAGATCCCGAGAGGAGAATGGAGGAGAAGGGATTGCGGCGTGGCCATCCCCCCTGGGGGGTGATTTCTCACTTTCTGTCTCTCTGTCTCTCTCTTTCTGGTGAGCGCACCAAAAACCTCTCCAAAAAAATAAGTAAATACAATAAAATAAATAATAAAAATAAAGGGCAGAGTAAAAGCTAGGTAGAAGTGCTATGTAGAGCGGAGTCGGTAGGTGGCCTGGTGGTTAAGGGCACTGGACTCCCACATGGCTGACTGCAGTTCCAGTTCCAGACTCGGCTTCTTTCTCACTTTCCCTCCCTCCCATTACCCACCTCCTCATCAAATAAAAAAAAAAAAAGTTATGTAGAGGGGCTGGCAGGGGGCATGGTGGTTAAGGGCACTGGACTCTCACATAACTGACTGTAGTTTGGGTTCTGGGCCTGGTGACTTAATTTCTCACTTTCCGTCTCTCTATCTCTCTCTGGTCAAATTCAAAAATAGTAAATAAAATAAAAAGGTTCTGGGGCTGGCAGGTGGCGTGGTGATTAACGGTGCTGGATTCCCACATGGCTGACTGTAGTTCTAGTCCTGGACCTGGTGTGTTGCTTTTTCACCCTCTCTCTCGTCAAATTAAAATAAAGTTAAATTTAAAGAAAAAGTTCTAGGGACCAGCAGTTGGCATAATGGCTGGGGTGCTAGACTCCCATGTA